TGCGGGGGGGGGGGCGCAAGGAGAACCGAGACGGTGTCGCGCTCACGTCTCCATGCCCACGGCCGCCGCCGCCGCCGCCTCGCAAGCTCCCGGCAAAGCGCAGGAGAGGAAAACCTCACCCCCCCTACGTCAGGCGGCGGCGACGTCACTCCGTGACGCGGCGACAGCGCACTCACCACGCGCCTCCTGGAGGACCTGGAAGCGGCCGCCTTCGGCCTGCCCTGCCGGGTGGGGAAGAGGGCCCGCGCCGCGCCGGGCTAGCGGGTGTGGAGGAAAAGGGCAAACTTTTAAAAGTAGGGCGGGGGATCCCGCTTGGAAGACGCGCGGTGGTGCTGGTCGCTAAGGGACAGAGGCGCGCTCCGCTGAGCAGAGGGTCCCACCATTGTTTGCCACCAGTGGTGCCTCGATTTATAACCATACGCCGTTTCAGAAGATGGACATAAGTCGAAGCACCATTTCCCATTGAAATGCATGGGAACTTGATTAATCCGGTCCAGCAGTTTTTTAAAAAATACCCACAGATAAATAATTAAATACTGTCAAACACTGCAAGCTTACCTTATCAGTCCGAAGCCACCTCTGATTGCGGTGGCCGGGAGGCTGAGCCTGGCCAGGAGGCGAGCATCCGGAACATCCCGGCCAGCCTCAGCCTCCCGGCGTTGGGTTGCTGTCGCTGCATCCCTTTCCCTAACTGGGCAAAAGAGCTACAAAGCCGCAGCCTCTTCGCCACCAATGGTTTGAATTTCCCGCCTTTCCCCCCTCCCTTTCCAGGTTGCAAGTGGAAACAAAATGGTCGAAAGGGCCATAAGTAGGGACGTACGTATATAAGTCGATGCACCACTGTACTTGGACGAGCTGCAGGTGGCTCAGCGTTGCCTTGTATTCCCCCACCCTGCTCCCCTGCACGCCCAAAGCAGGGGACGGATACATGCAGCATCAAGGTCAATTCCGTTGACTAAAACCTGGCCGGGAGCTCTCTGCTGGCGGCGGTAGCTGCAACTGGCCAGGGCATCTGAAATTTCAATCCAGGAAAATGAGGTGAAAACACTCAAAAAACCACATTAGGGATTATTTTCAGGGGATGTTTTATTTTTTATATACAACCATCTACATTTATTCAAATACAGTCCTGTCATCTTCTGGTTGCTGCACAATGGTGGAGTGCGGGGTTTCACTTAACTGGGACATTTTCAGGAAACCAGTAGCAGTTTTCTCAGGCGTGCTGACCTCTTGCAACTGGCTGTGGGCAACACGAGCCCTACTTTATTAGGTTGAAATGGGGATGGTGTCCCTACACATTTGTGGTGGGTGTTGTTAGAAATTATAATCCTGAATTAGGAACTGGGTAAAGTTGACCGGAAACAGAGCTAACGGACAAGTCTCCTGTACCTTGAGAAATCCTGAACCTAGAATAAAACATTTTAATTGAAAGTTGTCTTTATTAAAATTTCATACATAATTATTTATTCATTCAATTTGTATCCTGCTCCTATTAGTATCACAGCACTACTCTGGGTAGGTTATAACATGTAAAATAGAAAACAAAAATAAAAATAGAGATATTAAACCCAACAGCAAGAACCCTAAAAAAATCCCAGATGGCACCGACTAATCCCAGAGCGGATGGAGGAGAAGAGGGGAGGGGAAAAGAGGAGAGGAAAGAAAAAGAGGGGATAGTGGTCAGCTGGCGTCAGTGTGGAAAGCCTCCCTGAAAAGCTAGGTATTTAATTGCTTCGTAAAAGTCCACAGGGAGGAGGCTAGGCGGAGCTCCTCTGGAACCTGGTTCCATAAAGCTGGGGCTGCCGCAAAGAAGGCCCTACATCTTGTAGAGGATTTATAGGTCTCCCTTGGTGTGGCCACCGAGAGGAGCCTCAACTGGGATGATCTTGTGAGTCAGGCAGATGACATTAAAGAAAGATGCTCTGACAGGTAACATGGACCCAAACCATGGATGACTTTGCATGTGATTGTCAAAACGTTGAACCTGAATAATGAAACTGAATATAGAACTCAAACCAGATTTGTCTTTATTGGGTATTTTGCCAGAGAATATTAACAAACAAGACAGCTATATTATATTACATATATTGACAGTGGCTAGAATAGAAGCTGAGGCTCCAATACTTTGGCCACCTTGTGAGAAGAGAAACTCCCTGGAAAAGACCCTGATATTGGGAAAGTGTGAGGGCAAGAGGAGAAGGGGACGACAGAGGATGAGATGGTTGGACAGGGTCATCGAAGCAACCAACATGAATCTGACCCAACTCCAGGAGGCAGTGGAAGACAGGAGGGCCTGGCGTGCTCTGGTCCATGGGGTCACGAAGAGTCGGACATGAGTTAATGACTAAGGAAGAACAACAGAATAGTATGGGCTCAATACTGGAAAAATTAGAAATCTTCGTTAGAAGGAAAAAATGTACAAAAAATTGTGTTGAGATGGATAGATTGACAATGACAATTAAAGGGAAAGAGGGTTCGGAATATTATCAAAACTGGAATAAAATGTATGAGTGGCTAGAGCAAAGAAATAAGGTATAGAGACAAATGAGACATTATATATGAACAATTTGATGTACAGTGGTGCCTCGCTAGACAGTTACCCCGCATGACAGTTTTTTTGCTAGATATTGACTTTTTGTGATCGCTATAGCGATTCACAAAACAGTGATTCCTATGGGGGAATTTCGCTGGACAGTGTTTGGTCCCTGCTTCGCAAACTGATTTTCGCTAGATGACGATTTGCTTTTTGCTAGACAATGATTTCGCTAAACAGCAATTTCAGTGGAACAGATTATCATCGTCTAGCGAGGCACCACTGTATATCCAGTGAAAATGCCGAATGACAATGGAAATGTTTTTATGTGTTATAAAAATAAATTTAAAAAAAGATGTAACTTGTGTGCCAGGCCCACTGTACGCTCAAAGTTTGCTGCATTCAGTGCCCCCAACATGTTGCGCCCAGCATCCGTAACCATACGGCCAGAGATGACTAAACCCTCTGGTGCCCACTTCTGCACTGCAGCCAGAAACTGACGCTTCTCCCCGTTTCCTGAGTCGCCATGTGCCATGCCTGCAGCAGAACAGACCTGTAGCCTGGTGGCAGAACAAGGGCTCCCCCTGTGACCCTGTCACAGATGCCCTGCCACTTCTCAAGTCCTCTGGCTCCCACCAGTGGACTGTGACTGAGAGATACCCCTGATTACTTCCACTCCAGAGGTTAGCCATGAAGTGCACCTTTCGCCGCTGTGCCTGTGAAAGCTGGTCAGACTACCTCCCGCACTGAGTCATAGAGTGAGGGCAGGATTCTACAACTGATGGTTTTTAATGAGGGAGCGTTGTACCACAGGGTGAAAAAACGCAGCAACCAGCCAAAGGCTGGGACTTCTACGGTGGACAGTGGAAGCCCAAGCAGGGGAATTGTCTCGGCGACAGGTGCCTTACCCTTAGACTGCCTGCTGAGGGCCACTACAGACTAGGGATGGGGATGAACCACCAAAATGGTGGCTCATTGTGGTTTGTGGTTCATCAGGTTGACAAACCACAAATTTCCCCTGGGTTTTCAGACAAACCATGAAACAGCTCATTGGTTCATCTTTTTTAGACAGCCTGAATATCACAATTTGGTTTTTTAAAAATTCATCCCCATGTCTAGTACAGACCCAATGGGTGCAACTTCGTGGAGTGTAGCCCACCTCACATCCTGAGCGCTAGCAACCCCCCTGACTGTCCTTTTTGAAGGAGGTGCCTCCTTCTGCCTCCCCACTTCTCCTCCTGGGGCCGCTCTCTTCCTGCCCCCAGACGGCGTTGACAAACAGCCTTCCTGAAACAGGAGCCTCAGGTGGTGCCTCTCCAGATGTTGGCAGAGAGTGGTGGAGGACAGATGCCTGGGGCCTGACCACCTCCAGACCACCCCAAGGTAGGTATTGCAGCACACCTGCCATGGGTGGTCATTCACCATTATGAAATTATTCCATAGGAACCCTCTGCCCTGTTTGCCACTACAGTCACCCACTGCCTGCCCCTGCCTGCTACTGGCCCAGGAAGACTGTGCCAGTAGTGCTGGTATGGGAGGATGGAGGAGACGAGCCTGGGGACAGAGGTGTTGGGGAAACCTGCCCTGCCACTACTGGTTCTGAGGACTGGGAGGTTTCTGGATCCTCTAGAACCAGTAACTCCTCAGATTCCTCCAGGAAGAGAAGCGGCAGTTCTTTGGCCACCAGAGGAAGCTCTGCTTCCATGCCTACCTGCAAGGTGGCGGCTGGTCTAGTCAGAGGCTTTCCCTCGTTAGAGACTCCACTGTCCTTCATTTCCATCTTCTCTTTTACCCTGCTGCTTCCTAAACCACACTTCGAATAAAGGGGAGGGGAAGGAAAAACCTCATTTTAAAGGAGAAACTATGAAGGTGGGGGAGGTGTAGGAAACCTAATATTCCTAAATAACTAAATAAACAGCCATTCCTCACCACACACAGATACTCTGGAATTTAAGGGGGGGGGAGGTTAAAATACACCACCACAGATCATCCACCCTGCCCAAACACACACCTCAAAAACAACTAATTCTTCAACTAAAATTTACCCCAAAAAAGCCTTACCCAGTGTCCCACTGATGAAAATAATAAAGAAATAAAGTGTTTTAAATGGAACATGTGCTTTGACTTGAGCACATCTTAGTACTGAGTAAAGCACACAGGTACCAGTAAGCAAGCAACCAGCTAGTGCCCCCCACACACTGGAATTTAAGGGGGGGGAAGGGTAAAATACACAGATCACCCATCCTGCCCTAACCCTAAACCCAATAAATAACTGTTCTCCAATCTACGGAACTAAAATGTACCCAGAAAAAAAGCCCTCTCAAAATCTAACTAAGTAGCAAATAAGGGAATAAAGGTGTAAAGTATGTATGCTTTGCCACCACAACAGTGAAAAAAGCACCACAGCTAGGCACAGCACAACTAAGACCTGGAGCAGAAGTGGGAAATGGCTGCAAGAAAAAGCCTATTAACAAGGAATACCCCCACAGCCCTTCCAGCAGGGCAACTGGCTGCCTGCCATGCCAATCCATGAGACTCTTGTCCCTCCCAGTGTTGCCTAGAGCTTCTGATTGGCAGCGGCAGGCAGCAGATGGCAAAGAAAGTCCCCAAAGGGGTAGATGAAGTGACAAATCAAAAATGGGTAAAAATTTATTGCTTTGTATTCATCAGGCTCTCAATATTGAATGAATACAAAATGACAGATTTTTGATGAATCAACATTTTCGACGAATATTGTGATTCGCTTTTTGTTTTGTTCTCATCTCTACTTAATATAGTATGTTTATGGCTGAAGTCAAGCCTTCTAAAGGAAGTGTATTTTGAAAGTGGCAAGCCTGGGTAATGGCTGATAACAACACACATTTATTAAACAAAAGTACTACTTCTGCTAATTGATTTGTATAAATTAGCAAAGGCTTTAAAAACATATAGAATATTGATAGTGTTAATCCGGCAGAGCCATAGAACAGGACTATGAAACCTGTGGCCCTCCAAATACTGCTCTGTGATTTCTGATTATTATGGAGCTGATGGGATTATTTCTGGATCCTCTGGAACCAGTAACTCCTCAGATTCCTCCAAGAAGAGAAGCAGCAGTTCTTGGGCACCAAAGGAAGCTCTGCTTCAATATCTGGAGGCTCAAAATTTCTCATTCCTGCCTAGATTTCCACCTTTTACCTAAATATCCCAATATGAGAGGGCTCCTTGGTAAGTCGTAGGAATAATGGGGCTATACAGGAAGTGCCACTCACCTGATGCCCTAACTCTGCACTGAGGCTATTTACATTTAGGAAGATAAATAAAAGACGACAACAACACAACTTGGATATAACTTTTATTGTGCAATCTGAACAAGTAATCAACTGCATACTTTCCTTAAAAAAATTAGACTACAGAAAAGTATATTGGGGGTGGGGTGTGTGATTTTCAGGCACATATTGCAGATTCCTAGTTTAAAAGTGCTGTGGAACTCAATTTCTACAGATCATTTTTAAGAAAGTTAAGACACCATGCTGTATGAGGCCAAAGGCTTATCTAATTAAGTATTCTGCTCTCACAGTAGGAAACCTTCAGGCCGGGTATCAGTACAACTGCATTCTCACACTTGTGCTCTTCAGCAGTAGAGATCTCAAGGCATACTGCCTCTGTTCCTGAAGAGATATAGCCCTCAAACTAGCAATCACTAGTTGCTAGTAGGCCTTACTTGCATGAATATAGTACATTTTAATTTTTTATAGGAAATATACATGTGTGGCAGAAGTAGGTACTTGTGTGGCAGTGTAAGAGATCTAATAAATGCATACATTTCAACAGAAATTTGTGACAAGTTCTCATACTATTTCATATGGGAAATTTTGGCTACTGTTGTGTGCACACTTTCTTTTGAGTAGATGGCCCACTGAACATTGTGGCATTCTGAATAAATATGCACTGGACCATGTTGTATAATTATGTAGAGGTCTCACGCCTAAACTCCTTGATTCTTGTCAATTTCCTTGCTTGTAATTCTACAGTTCTGCCCTGCTTTACGATTACCCCATTTAACGATGAATCCGCTTGACGGTGAGGTTTTTGTGATCGCAAAACGATGGTTTGAATGGGGTTTTTCTGCTTAGCGATGATCGGTTCCCTGCTTCGGGAACCGATTTTCGCTTTACGACGATCAAAAACAGCTGATTGTCGGGTTTCAAAATGGCCGCTGGCTGAAAAAACCGCCCCCCCCGCTGTGCTTAGGGATGGATTCCTCACTGCACAGGCACCGAAAATGGCCGCCCCTATGAAGGATCTTCGCTGGATGGTGAGTTTTCAGCCCACTGGAATGCATTGAAGGGGTTTCAATGCATTTCAATGGGCTTTTTTATTTCGCTTTATGACATTTTCGCTCTACAGTGATTTCGCTGGAACGAATTAACATCGTCAAGCTTAAGCTATGGATACCCCCCCCTCCCGAGGAAGTCTATTCTCCTGTCAAACAGCTCTTTCAAGAAATTTTCCCTAATGTTCAGGTGAAATCTTTTTTGTGATATGAACCCAGATACTGTCTGGATAAATACACATCTTCATACAGTTCTATGTTTGAGGTGAAGCAACTGCATGATAAACGCCTTGTCTGGAAACACCTTTGCTCTATCACTCACAAAATACAATGACATATAGTGTTATTTAACAGTGTCTGACAAATCACATGTAAGAATTGCTCTTTCTTACAGCATTTAATGTATGACATGCCACTGTAATATAAGTATTTGACATTAGTTGACAAGCTTATGAGATTCCATACTCAGAAGCCTTGAATCTGGGTAAATGAAACAGGAGTAGGTAACTGAATTTCAAATATCAGTGCATATTTGTCTCAAGCTTTAAACTAACCTTGATCACAAAAAAGGGGGACAGAAGAATAATGAGAGTGATTGGTGGGGGGCAATAATTCTTGGCAAGAAGATGTGGCCAGATATCCAATTCAGGATGCAGTCTATAAATTATATGAAAACCTGCAGTGGTATTGCAGAGCTTACTGAAAGCTGTTCATGTCCAAATAGATTAAACTGGCATTTCCAGACAGTGTTATTGAATATGCTCATCACCAATCCAAGTGCAGTCAAGCATTTGTAGTGCAAATCTCCTCCTCCCCCATCTCTGTTCCGGAGTAATGTAGGCAACAGCAGAGGAGAAAGCCAGCAGCACCAGCAACTGTCTACTTTATGAAAAACAATACAGACAGCAATTTAGCATAGTTTACATTCAAGTGAGAGAGATATTAAGGCCTACACCTGAGGACTTACAGAAACATTGTGGGCTGAACTGGTAAGAAAGCACCATCCGTCCGTCCGTCCGTCCATCCAACCAACCAAGTATGGCTCCTGAGCAAGATGCTCTTCTAGAGCGGTGGTTTTTAACCCTGCTCTGAGAAGCCCTAATCCGCAAGGGATTCTGAGATCTGAAGCTCAAAGCCTTGGGGAGGGGGCAAAGGTCGAGAACCACTGTGCTAGAGGATTTCACCTGTGCTTGATCAAGTCCTAAGATTCTTGTTGGTCTTACTAATAACATCAGATTGGCAATCCAGTTGCCAAAAAAGACTAAGGCCTCTTGGGATAAGCAGCATTTTACCTGAATTTTTGTAGACAGCATTATAAATTACAGAAATATGTTGGTCCAGGTACAGAAAAAGCCCAGTTTGATTGCATATCTGCCCTCCTGGGAGTGGATTCAAGCACAAGAGGCTTTTTCCTTCACATGTTAAGATATTAAGGGATTTGTTAATTAAGTTGATCCCAAGTGCTTTCTGGTATAGATGTGTACAACAAAAGCTGTAGCAACCAAGGCTCATTTCTCTATCCATGACATTCAGAACTACTGGTAAGGAGAAACACAATGCACTTGTAAGGGTTTCACAGGAAAAGGCCTTCTTTGAAGGAAACGGTTCTTGGAAAAGTGTTAGTGCTCTGAGTTCTTTGCTTTTGAAGGTGACGTTGGATCATAAATTCCTGCGAAGCTTTGAGGTGTAGGCACATTGATAGTGATCAGAATCCAGAATGGAAGGACTGCCATGAAGCACAGCTGTATTCCAGGGAAGTGGGAGCATTTTCATGCATTGCTCATAAAATGTATCCAGAGAAAATGAGAGAGAGAGAGAAACACAAAGAGTTCATTTCTTGAATTATTTCAACTCAGAATGCTGTGAAAAATGTACAGTATCTTGAAAATATGTTCAGGAGTGCCACTGCAGTACATTGAACCTTACATTTTGGTTGTGCAGACTACTTTTGTCCATGCTCCTTGTAGTGTCTGGGGCAGAACCACCACTGCTGGGCATTGCCAATGGCTGGCTTCCCACAGTGTGTCCAAAACGTCTAGCTGCTGAGAGAAATGCTTGCATTTTTTCAAGATGCTTCCTGCCACAATGACCTGAGGACTGAAGCTTCCCTCAGTGGATGCAGGATCAACTCCAACACCTGGCTTAGAACCTCTCTCAAAAGAACAACTAAGGTTGCAATTTTTACCTATTGAACTGAAGCACTGCTACAGCTGTTGGTGAAATAAGACACCTCTAGTCAAAGGATAGCAGGTCTGGGCTCTGGGCCTCACTTTCTACAGTGGATGCCTTCATCTTTGATGGGTCAGTGCTGATCTTTAACGGGCATTCAGGGACACTCTTGTCAACACTCAAATTGAGCTTGAGAGCCAAATTTTCTGGGTAAGAGGAAGGGGATATTCTGTAAGCAGCATTCAGCTGGGTTTCTAGTTTTTCCTTATGAATAAGATCAGGCACACCAAAGATCCTGTTAGAATCGGTTCTAACTTCTTCCTCTTCCAATGCAGCAGTCTCTCCCCACGCTGCCTCTGTCCTGTCACACTGGGACACATAGTCCTGGTTTTCCTCTGCAAAGGAGGCTTCTGTGCTATCCACTGATGTTTGGGAAGCAATCAGCATATCTTGAGGGGTCTTCAGGGCTCTTGGGGTACGTTTTTTGGTAATAACAGGTGGTGGGTTGAGTCGAGGAATGGCTTCAGTTGGTATCTGCCTACAAGCAAATACAAAAACAAGCAAACAAAAACAGCTCAGGGATGGCTCTAATCAAAACTATATGACCAAATATTGCGAAATGCATGATCTGGAACTATCCCTGGTTTATACCATTTGCTTTCTTCAATTTATCTCTGCAAATAGTCAGCTCAGGTACTGAAAACCTTTGCAGTGCAGCCCAAATCTCAGCACCCTCTCAGCCATACGAGTTTGCACTATTGCCATGGATGCACTATTGCCATGGTTCAAAGATTCTATTTCATGATTGAATCTTTGGTCTGTTTTAGTCCCTCGTGTTCATTAACATTCCCCTTGTGAACAGAACTGTGTGAGTTGATATACTCAGCCCAATCTGTGTCAGGATGCACTATTGCCATGGTTCAAAGATTCCTTATGTTAGTTCATACATGTGCTCCAAGAGCACATCTGGTAACAGAATCAACGGGAATGGGATCATGCTGAATGTTTCTTCAGCATGCTGGGATGTGTTTACTTTCAGGTAATCCAAATGTAGTAACTGATAAACATATCATTCTATAAGCAGGCAAAGACTGTTAGCATAACTATCCTTTTGGAAGGCTGATGAAATCATCAGCAGTGGGCAATTTTCAGTAATTGAAAACTTCCTACCACTGTCTCATGGCTCTTCTAACTCCTGTGTAATGCTTTTTATTGCATGGAAACCATGAGAGCTGTGAGATGGAAGAAGGAAGTTTTAAACTACAAAAAATTGCCACTGCTGTTTAATAATGCTGGCGGGGGAGACTTTTGGTAACTGAAGACTTTCTCTTCTTGTCCCAGTGCTTCCATGGCTTGCATGTGATGAGAGGGATCACACAAGATTGGAAAAGATGCAGAACATAAGAAGGAAGTTTTTTAATCACTAAAATTGCTGACAATCTCATCACACTTCTGCTAGTGTTAAGTTACATAACAGGATTTCAGCCAACATCATATAAAGAAACCATATGCCCAGTTCTGGCAACTACTTGCATGCCATAAGCTGTTAATTAGCTTCTTCTACAATTCTGTCCTTGGCAAGTTTAAACAGTTGGAATGGGCAGAGAAAGAGAATCAGGGGGAAATGATGTCTTTCCCTGTTATGCTTCTATCTCTATATTCCCTTGGATGTGCTTATTGTAGGGCAGCTGTCCATGAGGCTCATAGGAAGACACTTACCCTTCTGTCTGGTCCTGGCCTTTCTGCAGTGTGTCTCCCCTGTAGGAGAGTGCTGCCCCTGCACCTTCATTGACTTCTGTTACCCCAAAGCTGTTGCTGTAGTTAGCAGGCTCTTTCCTGCGCAGGAAGTCATTGACTTTGGCACCAACTGTCTTGCCGATGTTCTTGAGATGCTGGCTGCTTCCACCCCTTTCTGGCTGGCTCCGCCGATGCATACCTGGAGAGGACTGGGCAGCAGATTTGTCAACCAGCAGCTTTGGTGCAGGCGTTGTGTTTGAATTTTCAAACATGCTTTTGTCAACTACAGAAGGAAAGAAAACACTTTATGTAAGCGTAACAGGCCAGGGAATTTTTCACCTTGGTAGATAATCAGGGCAGTAACAGAATTCAGGAAGGGGATTAAATTTGGTACTTGATACAGAATACAGGAGCTGACAGATAGTTTCTTGGGCTCGCTAATCACTGCAGATAGTGACAACAGCCACGAAATTAAAAGACCATTCCTTCTTGGGAGGAAAGTGATGACAAACCTAGACAGCATCTTAAAAAGCAGAGACATCACCTTGCTGACAAGGGTCCGCATAGTCAAAGCTATGGTTTTTCCTGTTGCGATGTATGGAAGAGAGAGCTGGACGATAAAGAAGGCTGACTGCCATAGAACGCTTTTGAATGGTGGTGCTGGAGGAGACTCTTGAGAGTCCCCTAGACTGCAAGGAGATAAAACCTATCAATTCTGAAGGAAATCAACCCTGAGTGCTCACTGGAAGGACAGATCCTGAAGCTGAGGCTCCAATACTTTGGCCATCTCATGAGAAGAGAAGACTCCCTGGAAAAGACCCTGATGTTGGGAAAGTGTGAAGGCAAGAGGAGAAGGGGACGAGAGAGGATGAGATGGTTGGACAGTGTCATCAAAGCTACCAACATGAATTTGACCCAACTCCGGGAGGCAGTGGAAGACAGGAGGGCCTGGCGTGCTCTGGTCCATGGGGTCACGAAGAGTCGGACACAACTTAACAACTAAATAACAACAACACAATCCTCCACAGCATCTAAAGGCTAGCTCTGGAAAACACAGCTCAGTCATGAGACCCCCTGCTCTCTCCCTTGACATCTCCCAGCATTTGCTTCTAGGAGCAACTAAATCCTCTTTCTTTCAGAAATACTCCTGGCTTTCATTTTTCTATAAATGTATCTGCAGAGTGTGTTTTGTCACTTCCATGCTCATTCAGCAAAATCTCTGCTAATTTCTTCTGATTTCTGCACCACTAAGTTACTTACAGACCTCTCATTGCTAACTCGAAAAAGCAAAATAATAACTGAGTCATGAATATGGGTTTTTAAGCTTTATGTTCAGTAAAGGTAAAGGTTCCCCTTGACAATTTTTGTCCAGTCGTGTTTGACTCTAGGGGGCGGTGCTCATCCCCGTTTCCAAGCCATAGAGCCAGCGTTTTGTCCGAAGACAATCTTCCGTGGTCACATGGCCAGTGCGACTTAGACATGGAACGATGTTTACCTTCCCACCGAAGTGGTCCCTATTTATCTACTTGCATTTGCATGCTTTCGAACCGCTAGGTTGGCGGGATTATGTTCAGTAAAGTGTCATAAAGCAAATAGGAAAACCATCTCCTTCTGCCTTAGACCACACACAGGAGCCAGGACTTTAACATTGGTTGCCACCAAGGATGGAGCAGAGCTTCATCAATCTGCCTTTCTACTGCAACTCAGTTTTCCCATTCCGTTGTTGTTAACAAGCCTCTACTATGGATACAAGACACTAAAAGAACAAACAAATCAACCTACTAGGGACAGTTCCAGGTATGGTGATTTTCAGAATATGGGAACAATATATGGTTCCTTCTCACCAAAGAAAACAGAAAGGTGAGGAGGGATGGGGCTTACAAAGGATGTATGTGAGCAACACAGTTGCATGCACTAAAATGGAGCTGGCTGTTATAATTGATGGCTTAAAAAAAGCTTTTCTGAAAATGGTCCTAATCCTGTTGCTTAGTATAGTAAATTGCACTAGAATAGGTGCGTTAAACCAATGGTGATTTAGTAAGTCAACTCCCCCATATGTTCCATTGATTCAAATAGGCCTACTCTTTGACTTGCTGTGCTAAAGTAGGCCCTTTTGAATCAATAGAATTTGCAAAGTTGACTCACTACATCCCTTTGATTCAATGGACCTACTTTAGTACAGTTTACTATGCTAAACAATAGGATTTGGGCTGATGTCTGTTTTGAAGAGGCATTTGGAAGAAGAAAAAAATGCAGAGAGCTTCAGGTTCATAGAGATATATGAGTCAGTGAAGAGATGTTGGCTGTCAAATGGTCTGAATGATAGGCAATTTAGGCAGGACATTTTGGAGGGAAATGTGATTACTGAAGTACAGCCAAAGATAAAGACTGGGGGGAAATTGTAGTAGTTGGGCAGAGAGATGAACAGAGTGTGAAGTAGAGTATTCTTCCTAAAAAGATGAAGACTCATTTATTTTCCTTTTCTTTGTTCTTCTTTTTAATTACTGTGGAACTTTGTGCAAAAATACCAGTCTCTACACTACAATGCTTTAAAGGGAGCAGTAGGAAGCTGAAAATATGGCTCAGATAATCCTGCTTCATCTGCTGACAGAAATCATGAATATACAGATAATTCCCATTTAGTTCCTTAAATATTCTAGCTGGGGGCTCACTCTGGTCTGATTTTTAGATTTGAATTCTAGTCTCTCTGCAAGAATTTTGAAAATTAATTCTGTAATGGGAGTTTGTATAGCTTTTCATTTCTTTCAGCTTATTTGCTTCCTCTTATCCCAAATCTTATCAATGTTTGTGTGTACATTGATAAAATATGCACAAAGTAGTTTTAGGACCACAGAATGGTTGAGCTAGGAGTAACACGAGGTAACTGAGTCCAGCCCTGACCATCCACACTTGGTTTTAAAACCTCTAATGATGAAAGACCAACATACACTGAGATAGTCCATCCCATGTTGAACAGCTCTTAATAACAGGACGTTCTTTCTAATGTTTAGTCTAAATTTCCTTTCTTATAGTTTGAATCCATTCTTTCATGTCTTATTCCCTGGAGCCACAGGAAACAAACTTGCTCCATCTTCCATATGACAGCCCTTCTTCACCAAGCTAAACGCACCCAGCTTCCTGAACCAATTATTCCTCATTGTGTCCGATTTCCAGACTTTTTGCCACCCAGGTGCCCTCCTCTGGATGTATTCCTGTTTGCTGATCTCTCTTTTAAAACTGTAGTTGTCAGAGTTTGCTTGATATGCCTATGTCTGGAAAGACTGCCATTTTTTTAAAGTGATAATCACAAGTCCAACATTTCCCTACGGGTCCCAGGAAATGCCTCTCCCACAGGCAAGTTGTTCTGTGGTCCACAACCTGGGATTTCCCTCTTTGAGGCTAAGCTGGCTCAAAGGCAGATCCTTCAATCAAATATTTTTCCACTTCTTAGCTCAGATACATCCTCCTTCTCCTAAATAAAGACAGAAACAATTATAATTATATGATGGAAGTTTAGGGATCAAATTGTGTTGTGGCTCTGACTTTCTTATTTATCACTTTAAAGCCAAAAGTGGCTTTAGGGTGGTTTCAGGGCAGTGTAGCACTTCTTAGCAAATGATCTGTGTTGAATTTAGGAAACAATTGTTTGGCCCCAGCAATAAGGCAGAAGAGAGAAATGTGTCTTGTGCAACACCTCAGCCTTGTGCTGTAGACCAGTGGCTCTTAACCTGGGCGATATTGCCCCCCCAGGGGGCGATTTCGTTTTTCAGGGGGGCGATGGAATGAAAAGAGGCGACGCGGGGCGAAGGAACAGAAAGGGGGCAATAGGGGGGCGATGGAGCTGCCGCGCCGCCTCCACCATTGAGGAAATTATCATCGCCCCCTCCCTGCGCCGCTGGATCCAGAGCAGCTGGTGCTGGCAGCAGATGTGGTGCTGCTGACACCGCGGTGCCGACACCATTGAGGAAGTTATCATTGCCCCCACTGACACCGCGGTGCCGACATCATTGAGGAAGTTATCATCGCCCCCCCTCCCCGCAGCGGTGTCGCGCTGCCGTCGCGGGGAGGGGGGCAATGATAACTTCCTCAATGGCTCAAGGGGCCGTTTCTTACAAAAAGGCTAAGAACCACTGCTGTAGATGAACAATTTGTTCAAAGGGAAACACCAATGAAAGTCCTTCTAGTAGGGTTGATGCTGAAAGCAGCAGACAGACTCTAGCTGAAAGAAGACAGAGGCACACCATTCCCCATGAGAGCGAAAGACAGAGGCACACCATTCCCCATGAGAGAAGTAAAAAAAAGAGACTTAAGCCTCAGGTAAAAAACATGACCCTGAGAAGGCACCAGCGTAGTATGACTTGAGCATTCCACTGGGAATATGGTGCCATTCCTATCACACGGACTAACAGGCTGCATTAGCAATTTCTGAAAATGCCACAAGGGAGTCCCCAACTCACTATGTGGTTGTTATGTGCTGTCGCTTTTGACTTACAACAACTTGTCAAATGACCTCCAGCAGGTCCTCTCATTAACAGGCCTTATAAATTAAAGACTGTGGCTTCCTCAATTCAATCCATTTCATATTTGGGTTTCCTTTTTTCCCCATAGTAGGAAGCTTCACAGCAAATGCAAAGCATTAGGCACATGAATCTCTCTGTTCATTAGGCTCTGCAGAGGGCACTTTAAAAAACATTACTGGTCCCCTAATGCTTTGCAGTTCCCGTGGAGCTTAGATAGCTCCATGCATATGCTTCCCTATGCTTAATTGTTATTGCTGTAAACAGAACCTTGGCAAAGAAGAGGTGTGTATTATGAAACTCCTCCGAGAATTCAAGATTTTTTTTTGGCTAAAGCTACCAGAATTCTAGGTAGAGGAAATCCTACTGAATTCTGGTAGCTGTGGATAAAGAAATCTGAAAATCCCATGCTTAATGATTTTTTTTCTGATAGTTTTCTTTGTCCCTGTGTGTGCATTGTCATAATGTTCCAGAGCTACTAAAGGCACGACTGCCATCTGCTCACTGGGAAAGTACAGGGAGGGTTGCTGGATGCTGCTGCAGCATGTTCTAACCTTTGCTGACTCTTCGTCGTCGAATATTGTTTTTTCAATATAGGGCAACTGTGAAAATGAGTGCTGGGCAATCCAGTGGCTTTCTGCTTTGCAGGGAGGAGTCAGGAGGAGGGCTAAGACAGTAAGCAGCCAATTGTGAGCTACAGTAATATGCTTCCCACCTCTCCTACAAAAGTTGCATTTACAATTTTCCCCCCAGATGCTTCTGGAAA